TGAACGTCTTTTTCTATTAATAAGTCTATAACTTCTATATGATGGATTAAATCAAGTATTAAGGCTTTTAATTTAAGTTAAATTAGTTAAGATGCTCCTCCTACTAATTTCGTTAATTATTCAAGCATTTTTTATAGATCAGATTTGTAATTTGGAAGCTTTCCGGCTCTTAAAGCGCCTACTGCTTTTTCAGTAAAACGCAATTCTTCACATATACACAAGATTTATGATGGATATTTGTTTGTTTCCAGCATGGTTTCTGCTAAACATTATATTAATAAGTCTGTTAGTGTCTTAACCATTTTTTCGCTTAGGGATCCAAGCCAATTTTCTACTTATTCTTCTATATATACCTTTTCATTTAATTCTTTATTTATTTTTTATATTTTATTATTTTAAAAAAATAATTACACACAATTTCTTTATGGGAAGATATAATTGAAAGTATTTAAGAAGAGTCTTTATTAAAATCTACTTTATTTATTCCGGCAAAAAGCTTTTTTAAATGCATTTATATTACAGTTGGGTTTTAACTTTGACCTAATATTTCTAACAAATCGTCATCACCCAAAAAGTAAAAACGAGGAAATTTATCTATATATAAAAAAAAGCGTTTTTATTTTTTAAATATACATATAAAATTTTTACTTCTTTTTTCTTCCAAAAAATCATTTAAAGCCTTCTAACACTTTTCTAATTATTCTAGAATAGTTTCAAGTGTGCTACTAATGCCTGCTATTAAGCAAAGTGAAACTACTTTAGGATCTTTTTAAATACCAAACATAATGTTTCTATTTTAAAGTGTTAGTTTAAAAAAATATAATCTTATATATTATATATACTTGAAATCATCATCTAATCTTTTAAATCTTGCTTATTCTGTTGGTAAAGCTCCTCTTCCAAAAATAGGTTCTAAATATACCCATTTTCTTTAAATAATTTAAAGCTTACCTTTTTATTTAAAATAATTAATATATTGCAAATATATATATTTAAATAATTTTTACCTAAATATTCATCAACACCTCCTAATTTTTATTCAAACCCTTCAATTTGATCTTAAAATCTTTAATAAAATTTACTTTCTTTCATACTAATAAGCAAACTTTAATTATCTGAAACTTTAGTCAATAGATCTTTCCATTCTTTAATTAAAGGAGTTAGCTTATTATTAGATTTATATTCAGTAAGTTCGAATTCGTATGTATCACACCAATTATTTAGTTCTTGAATAGCTTCTCTTAGTGCTACTTCTCCTTATGCCCTAGCACATAATTCCTTAATATCATTTGTTTTTGAAATAATTTATTTATCTGAACTTAATAGATCTCCGAATTTTAAAGTCTCGTAAGTAACACTTTTTTAAATTTACAATATTTAAAATAAACTTCGCCAATGGTCTTTTTCGAAAGCATCACCTTTAATTTAATTAAATTTAATATTTTTTATATATATTTTAAATTTACCTATACAAAGTCGCAAACCAGTCCATATATGCTTATAAAGCTCTACTTATTCTATCATATACGATATTACAGCATCCCTATTAATTTAATTTTTTAATATTTCTGTCCACTTTATTTAGAAATCTTAAAAATCATATAATTTAGATTTAAATATCATCCAGTCTTATTTTTCAAATGCTTCCAATTCACCATTAAATTCATCAAATATAGCACATTAAGATTCCTTAAAATATTATAAATTATATATATATATATAAATATATAAAAAAAAATATTAAAATATAAATATATATATAAATACATATATAAATATATATATTTATATATATTATACTTCTTTTTATATTTCATTTTTAACTTATTCAAAATTATTAAGTTAATTATAATCCATTTCAAATTATTCACAATCAGCAATTAACTATTTTACTTTTTATTCTATTTATTTCCATGTATTTCTCCATTCTTTCATTTTTAAAGCTAATTCTCTCGCTGAGTCTTTATCTAATTATTCTGTTTATTTTGGTTTTAAATTTGTCCATTTTTAATAAAATTTATCAATTTCATCATTTAAAATATCACCTTTTTTTCTTTTTAAAAAATAAATAAATAATATAAATTATTATTAAATATTTTTTACCTGTTTCTATTTTTAATTAATTCATTTATTCAGCAAGAATTTTATCAAAATCCGCAATAATTGCTTCAAAACTTTCCCATTTCTATTCGATATTTTATGTATTTTAAACCATTCCAATTAAATTTCTTAAAAGTTTATTTTTTGTCTATATACTTTAAAATTTTTAGAACATAGATTTTTTATGTCCTTTAATTTCAAAATATGAATTTTTCGCATTATTAATTTCTTCTATATTTTTGGGTTTATTTTTTAATTTTTCTAAATTTTTATCTACAAACTCTTCTATCAATTCACAATCTAATTTTACACTATTTCTAAGTGAATTAGTTAAAGTATCAATTATATTTTATAATAAATCATCAGCACTATTTTTAAAAGGAGAAATCGTTACATGAAAACAATCTATCTTATAATGATCTTATAATTTTTCCAAATCTTTTCTTTTTACTCTTATATTTTTAATATTGTATTCCCAATCTTCTATAGTCTATAACTATTTTATAAAATAATTTTAATTTATATAATTATTATTAATATAAAAAAATATAAAAATTTTATTTTTTACTTTTTCTTCTAATTTTTAAACATCTAAATAGCAAATAGCTGTCCAAGGTCGTAAAGATTAGACCAATTTTTATAATTTTTCAAATAATTATTCTCCTTTAGAATATACAACAGCTAAATATTACATATTTTGTTTTGTTAAAGAATTATAAATTTCAATACTTCCTCCAACTCCTTAGAATGTTTTAACTGGCCAATTAATGAAGTTTTTTATTTCTTTATAATATTTTTCTTTTAGTTCTTCTAATGAAGGCTTTAATTCAATATTTTTTCCTTTTAAAACTAAATCTGTATTAATTTCATACATATTCTGCATTTTTTTATTGTTTAAAAAATTAAAATATTAATTTAATTTATTTACTTAATCTAGTAATTATAAACCCTTTTAATATTAATATTCTAAAGCTTTATAAATTTAAAAATCCCAATTAGTCCTCCAAAATCTACATATACTAGGGTCTTTTCCTTAACATCCTGTATCAATAATTCTTTTCATTTGCTAATAATATATATATTTTTTATTAATGAAAATAAAAATAATTATAAACTTCTAGTTTTTCTTTCCATACATTTTTTTATTTTAGTAAATCAATATCAAATAAAATTATAGTGATATCAACTAAATTATAATGTAATTTTCTTAATCGTCTATTTTCATTCATTATTTCATTACAAGCTTCTTAAACTCTTTTGATATATTCTTCTAATTTTTCTGTATTATCCCATGTAATTTCTAAATCTTTTTTACTTTAAGATTAATTTTTAATAACTTCTTCAAATCTAATAACTTTATCGACAAGCATTTTTTTAAGACTTGGTAGTATTTAATTACTCATTGAATTAAAAAAGTTAGCAACCTTTTTTTTAAAAAATAATATAAAATATATTTAATTATATAAAAAATACTTATTTTAATGTTAAAGCTTCTTTATAATAAAGTTTTCCATTTTCCACTATATCAATAATTTATTTAGGAATATTTTTTTTATATCCAAGCTCAAATAATTACCTAGTTTCTCTTATAAGCAATACAAGTCTTTCGGAATAATTAACCGAAATAAGTCCATCATCCATATTAATATCCATTAATTTACTATTACTTTTCAAAGAAAGTTCGTTATCAGGTTAACTCAGTATATTTTAAATTTCACCCCTCCAAATTTAAAACTAATCATTTTCGAATTCTTTAATTTATTCATTGATTTCTTCACAAAATTATTTAAAATTTTAATATTCTCTCAAATCTCCCAAACTAACTTAACTAATAGATAATATTCTTTTTATTTTTCCACTCAACTATCTTGCCCAAATAATCGCATTCAAAACTTTCGAAAGTTATGTCCTTAGGGAATAATTTCCATTCCTAATGAAAGATCTAAATTTTAACCACTTTTACTTTCAAATTCATCTTTAATTTTTTCACAAATTTAAAGCAAAGAAACTAATACTAAATGACGTTCGGGCATTAGTTTTTTCATTATTTTTTATCTAGATAATAGCCCATTCCAATTCTGCATTTCTCTTAAAACTTAAATAGGATTTTCTTTACTAGTATTTTATGTAAATATTTCCTTTTTAAAAAATTTGTAGATTTCATCTTCGATTTCCTTTTATAAAAATTTAAATTTATAAATTTATTTTATTAATATTTTTACTTCCATTTGTTAATTAAATTTAGATTTTTAAGTGTTCCATATGTCATTAGGCGAAGATAAACTATTTATGGATTTAAAATGGTTAAAAGCAAGATCGAAATCTCTTTTTAAATTTAAAATTTTGTTTAGCTCTTCATACTATTCACGAAATTCTACAATTTCATTTATTCTTTGAATTAAATTATTACTAGCAGAAAAATCAAAAGAACCGCTCATCCATTTTCTTTCTGTCCATAATTAAGTTACATATTAATTTATAGTATCGTTTAAATATTTTATATATTTTTGGCCTTCAATTAACTTAGATTTAATTTTATAAGAATTTAAATCCCATATTTCATCAGGTTTTAATTCTAATATTAATTTTTGACTACATTAACTAATAAAAGTATCTATTAGTTTTCTCATTCGTATTTCAGGATAAGAATTATCAACATTCCATATCTATAAAAAAATTATATTTATTTCTATATATTTTATAAAAAAAAAAATATTTACTTTATCAATAACATCAGCTGTTTTATCTATTAGTTCTTCCATTTTTTAAGATTCTATTTTTCTTAGATCTCTATAATAATATAAAAAAAATAGTATAAAACTAATAAATTTATATATTTATTACTTCCATCCTTCTATTTAAGAAAATTAATTAATATAATACTATATACGTTTTTAAGTATTTGCTGAATTTACTGATGTTAAATATCTTTACCAAAACTCAAATTCATCTGATGGTTTATTTATATTTTTTACATTTTTTTCATCCAAATCATTTTCATTACCTTTAATATATTTTTAATTTTTTTTTTAATTTTATAAAAAAGAAACCATTTAAGGAGTTATCTAAATTTTCCATTAATTATTCTAACATTTTATTCATATTAGGTTACATTTTATCTTTTAAAGCCGGCATATAAAATTATGTAAGATGTTGATAAAATTAATTTATTGGATCTGAAGACATTAAAGAAATACTAATCACTTTATTTATATTATCTTCGGATATATAATCGCCTGTATTCTTGCAAATCGTTATTAATTAATTATCTTAAGCTAATACTTCTTAATATTTATAAATTTTGAAACCTTTTCCAGATAAATATACTAATGCAATACTTTTCTTGTCATTATTATCTATAAAATCTTCCAATATAGGAGATTTAATAAGACTTCTGGGTTCTTCTTCAAGCTTAAGTAATTTTGTTATGCATTATATAAGATATTATTTACGCTGATCCATTAATATATTTTTTAATGTAAATTTTTTTACAACTTTTTATTTTATTTTAAAAATATTTTATTTTTAAATTACTATCTTTTTTAATTTATTATTATTTAAAGTATAAATAAGTAAAATATTTCTAATTAAAATAAATAAATTAAGAAAAAATATATGGTTTGGATAATTTTTAAAAATAATAAGATTAAAAATATTAAAACTAATTTTAATGAAGAAATTTAAATATTGTTAATATATTATTAAAATAATAAAATTAATTTTTCTTAATAAATTCAATTATATATAAAATATTAAGTTTAATATATGTTAAAATTTTATATATAATATTCAGATAAAATTAATTATGTTTTATATAAACATAAATTATAAAAATAATTGATAAAATAAATAAAAAGTATTAATAAGTAAAGATGAATAAAAAAATATTATATCAATAAATTTAAATAAATAAATAAAATAATACATATTTTGTAAAATTTATATACATTGTAAAAATAATTTAAAAAAATAAAAAATAAACATTTTTAAATTTACATTTATAAAATAAAAATATGTATATATATATAAATATATATATATATATATATATATATATTTATATATATATATATATAGTTAATACTAGTTAATTTTACTAAATTTAGTCAATATTTAATGTTACATTATGAATATAAAAAAAATATAAGTATATAATTTAAATAATTTTTGAATAATTAAATAAATATATATTAATTTAATTAATTTAATAGATTTTATTTCAAATTTTATTTTTATAATTATTTTTAATTATTTTAATATACATATAATATATAACTTAAATATTTAAATTGAAAACAACTTTTAAAATATTTTATGTAAAAAAATTATTAGTAAACCAAAGGTAGTCAAAAAGATTTAAAAAAATTTGCAATAAATACTTTATGTTTTGTTATTAGCAATATTAATTAAAAATTTTTAAGACAATCGTTTTTTAAAATTTACTAAAAGGTTATAAATTAAAGATAGGTATTAAAAAGGTTTGTTTCAATTTTATCAAATCAATATAATGATAATATAAATCATTTATTTTAAAAAGTTAAATACTATTAAGTTCTTTAAAACAAAAAATTGTTTCCGATTATATGTATTTTTTAAAATATGACATTTTATATTTTTTTAAAAAATATAGTAATGAGAAAATTAAATGAAAAATTTAAAATATAATAAAAAACTTATCTTAAAAAATGGCATTAAGAAATTATATAAAAAGTTAAAAAAATGTTCATAATTATTAAATTATAAAAAAATTATTAAGAATTTCCAACATTAAAATAAATGAAAAAGTAAAAATAATATTAATTTTTTATTAAAAATTAATAAATATTATAGTTATTAAAATATTTTAATTAATGGAGAAGAGCAAACAATTTAATAAATCTTAAATTTAATTACATTTAGCTTTAATTAAAAGGAAAAATTTTAATGTTAACTTGCAAAAACGATAGATCAATTGATTTAAAACAAGCTTTTTAAAGATGGAAAATTCGATCAGATAAATAACTACTTAAATAAGCAATAAAAAAATTTGCTCTCTATGCAAGAATAACGCCTGAAATTGTAAGCAAAATTAAAAATTATGTCCATCATATTTGTATATTTTTAAAAAATAAAGGCATATTGGAGATTAAAATAATTAGTAGAAAATAAAAAAATAAATTTAGATAATGCAAAAATAAGATAACGTATAAATAATACTTTCAATGGAATATGTTTTAATATAGAAAAAAACATAAACTTAATATTTTATATGTGGAAATGCCTACCTAACAGATAAATAGCTTAGGACAAAATAAAAGCTTTTAAATTTTAATAAAAAGCTTTTTAATATATCCTTTAATCTGCAAGAAGTTCATTTCATTATTTTAAAAATCATCATTTAAAAGTGTAAGGAAAAAAGGTAAATAAATATTAATTTATATGTTAATTAATTTTTTATATCAAAAAAGAAATAGATTTTTATAAATCTGATTTATTAATTACATAATAAAAAATAAACATATTTTACTAGATGGGATAACATTGTTAAAACTTAAAATAAATTTTGAAATGTAAGAAGTTAAATAGTTTTTTCTTTTAATAGATTAAATATTAAGAAATTAATAATTTAAATATATATTTGAAAGCTAAAAGAATAAAGACTGAAATAAAAACTTTAAGAATCCTAATAGAAAATGCAAAAAATTAAATTTAAAAATATTTTCTAAAATGGAAGTAAAATATAAACAAAGAAACACTTTAATAATAATTATAATCCGAATTATTAAACTAATTGAATATAGTTATGTTAAGAAATTTAAATGACTACTTTTAAAATAATATTAGTAAAAGTTAGAGAGAAGTTTTATAAAAATTTGATTAAAAAAGAAAGAATGTTAACTAATAAACTAGATTATATAACTAATTATTAAAAAGTAATACTGCTAAAATATTTTAATTATTTAAAAAAGTAATTTATAAATATTAATAAATTATTATTCTTTAAATAAAAAGTGGTAAAATTTACCTATCAAAAAAAATTATTAATAAATAAGCATTTTCGATTAAAAAATTAGCTAATTATATTAAAAATATATTAATTTTGTATTTTAAGCATTTAAAAAATATAAATATATCGCAGAAACTAAAAAACTAAATTCCATTTAAACTTTAATAAAGTTAAATTAACTAAATTAAAATAACTTTTTTTATAAATGGAAATAATAATCTAAAATAATTAAATATGTGAAATAGTATTTATAATATTATTGTTATAGTTTAATTATATTTTATAAAAATTAAAAAAAAGGTCCAAACTTACAATTTAATATTTTGAAAATGTTCATTAAAATTTAATAAATAATATGAATTGTGTTTTTTAAACAGAAAGATAAGCATAAATAATAAATAAAACAATCGGGTATATGATTAATAAAGGAAATAGTTAATTAAAATATGCTTTAATATATTGGCATTAAAAATCAAAAATTATAGAATAGAATTAAAAAAGCCTATAAGAAAAAAAGCAAAAAGTACTTTTTTTATTTGAGAATATAACTAAAAATAATTTAAATATTTAATTATTAAACGTCTTGGCCTTATTTCGTAAAAATAAAAATAACAAAAAAGTATTAATAAACTTTTTTAAAAATTGATGAATTGCAATTTCGGCAAAAAAATGAGAGTATTAATTTTAATAATTTATTTTTATTTTATTTTTATTTTTAAAGCTTTTATAATAACTTAGATTTATACCTAATTAATAATTAAATAGTCAATAAAAAATAAAGTCAAATTATTTTTAAATTAAGCTAAATAATATTTGTAGCAAAAAATAAGGTTACCATTAAGTATATTCTAAATTTACTATTATTAAGGTGAAAATATTAAGAAAAATATGCTTAACATTTAATTCAAATTTCTTAGAAAAGGCTAAGTGATATGTTTAATAAATGGCATATTTTTAAATAAGGGACGAAAAATATTTCTATTTTTAAAAACACAAGTAAAAATTTTGAAAATTTAAATTAAAAATTAGCTAATAATATTATTTTTATCCTATAAAATTAAAACAATAGTGAGCTTAAAAATAAATAAATAATTGAATAAATAGTAAAATGTGCAAAATATAAAGTAAAATTAAAACATATATACAATTTTTAATTACTAATAAAAAAATAGCTTAAATATGCATTTCAATAATGGGTAAAATTCGCTAAATAAGATATTCTTAATTAAACTATGAATGAATAGATTAAAAAATTAATAATTAGCTAATTAAAATATTTACTATAAAATAATTTGGATTAAAAATTAAGATAAACTCTATATATGTTTAAATAAAATTCATATAATTAAAAGACTGTGGCTAATGTATTTTTATATAAATTTAATTTATAAAATAAATAAAATTATATTAATAAAGATTAACTTGCTTAAAAAAAAACAATGGAAAAAATTATTAAAGAATAAAAATATTTATAGAATAGGTGTTTTTAATATGGAAAAATTAATCTTAATCTGATTCATTACAATAAAAAGCCTTAAAAAAACACAATGAAAAAATTCTATAAGCTTTAAATTTATTTTTAAAACAAAACATTGATTAAAAGCATAAATAAGTATTAATCAAGTTTAGGATGAATAAACAAATAAATAGAATTTAAATTTAATTTTTTAAATTTCTAATGAACTGTGCAAATGGAAAAATTGTATAAATGTTTTAAAAGTGGAAATTTTTACCAAATATAAAATATATTTAAAAAATTTAAAAATGCAAAAAAGTAAATTTATATATCATAAAATAATAAAAGTTAAATTATATTATCAAAATAAATTTTTATAGTTAGAAAATTTCTTATTAAAATTATCTCAAAATAAATAAAATTTGACTTTTAAAATATTTTAAAATTAATCTGAATTGTCAAATGTAATAAAGTAAAAAATGGCATTAATTTTAATTGCTAAAACTATATCTTAAGAAAAACAGCATTTAAAAAATGGTATAATATTACTAGAATATAAAGATAAGTCCTTAAATGTAAAGATAGCATTTAATTCTTTTAATAATTAAATTTAATATTATAAAATAATTTAAGTTGTATTTTTGAAAAAGAAAGAAGTAATAAGATTAAAAAATAAATACTTAAAAAAATAATTAAAACATAATAATTTAATGTCAAAAATTATTTAGATAAATGGAAAAAAATTATTTAATCTGATAAATTTTAATAATCACAAAAATAGTTTTTAATTCAAAAATTAAATTATATTTTATAAAATAATTCTCAGCAAAAATTTATTGAATCTCTTCGCAAATTTTACAAAAATAAATAAATGAAGAAAGTATAACTACGTTTCTTTAATAAAATTTAAGAAACTTAATATCAAGTTTTTTTAAACTTCTTTTAGTTATTAAATAACTTACCAGATTAATAAAGTCATATGAAAGCTAGAAAAGCAATATAACTTTTTTCTAAATTAAA